TGACATTTGACAACAACAAAATTTAATGCGATATACTTAACAGCAAAAAGAGCTTAACTGCTAAATAACAAAAAATAAGGCAATTTTTACATAAACTGAAAAGTTTTTTGTATAAATAATGCATATTTTGACTGTTTCATTTCCATTTTTCATAGGAACAATAACAAAAAGTTATAAATTCTTAGGACTTTATTACAAATATTGGGCAGATTTAAAAAAAAAAAACATATGTTATTTTGTACAAATAATGTAAATACTCAATGTTTCATTTCCATTTTTCATAGGAACAATAACAAAAAGTTATAAATTGTTAAATTTTTTTAAAGAATTTTAATAGTTTTTTAGAAATTGTAAATGTTTTCTTAAAAATAAAGAAATTTGAGACTGTTTCATTTTCATTTTCCATAGGAACAAAGAAGAAATTATTTTTTGTTAAGTTTTGTTAACAAATTTGCAAAGTTTTCGATAAAATGTATGAGACGTATTTTGAATAAGGAAAATACCAACTGTTTCATATCCATTTTTCATAGGAACAAAAGCAAAAAGTTGTTTAAACTTCGTTTAGATGCGATTTAATTTCAGTAATTAATTATAAATAATGTCACTTAAGTTATTTTTGCCATTTATGGCTGTTTATTTGTAGAATTTTACACAAAATCTCTATTGTTTCTTAGTTCTATATTAGAAATCAAATTATATTTAAAACAATTCTTATTAAAAGAAAGAGTTTTTTTATTAAATTTATAAAAATACAACTTTCCCTTTAACGAATTATTAAGTCTTGACATTACTTATGTAAACGCGTGTCAAAAAACAGGAGGGTTTAGATCTGGCGTTACATTTTATTATTGCTGACAGATTGTTGTCTTAGCTTTGCCTTTGAGAAAGAAAAAAATAACAATAAGTTATGTTTGAATTATTTTATTTAAAATTCAAAACATGTTTTAAGATCGCAAATTTGTTTTTAATTTCTAATCAAAAACAAACAAAACACATTGTTTAAATAAATCATAAGTAAATAAGATAAATATGTATGTAAACAAATTTAAAATTGTGACAATTAATAGGTGTTATTGAAAAAAAAAATCATTCCCATAATAAATGAAATGTGAAAGAATTTAAGATTTCTTCTAATAATACAGTGCTAATAAAAAGTTATCAAACGGTTGTGGTTTTTTACTCATTTGAAATTAATCACTCGCAAAAACATTTTACGGTTTAAAATCAAAATTTAATTCTTTTGTTGTGATTTAAACAAAAGTTCGAGAATGAGTGTCTAATACAACAAATAAAGTAAACAAAATTATAAATTCGTATTAAATCTGTTAATAAATTTACAATTCTATTGCAAAAATGAATATAATCAATTGATATATCAAATGTCGCCATAAAACCAGATCTAATAACCAAACAATCTTTTACGTCAATGGGGAAACAAAAACACAAACAAACTTAATAACAAAACAAACATTTTGGAAAGATCTATTCTATTATCTAAAGACAGAGTTCCCTAAGATTAACTTAAAAATAACTCAAATATATGATGCTTATTAAATTTATAAACCTGTTATTAATATTTCATTTTTATCTTTATTGATTATTTTCAGATTGCTCTTAGCACAAATAGTAGCGGCTATAGAACCTCAACATCGGAATCAATGAATTCAATGGTTACAGCCAATCTAAATACACCAATGATAATAACCGCAACCAGTATTCGAAAATAAAAGAACTGGTTACAGTTACAAAATTGTTGATTAGTTGATAATAAACAAATTCAACTAATTTCCACTGAAACATCTTATACCATCTACAACATATCTAAGTATAAGGCTTTATTTTAAAATTAAACTAAAAAATAAGGTTTATTTATACCTGAAGAAGATACACCAACATTTCATCCAATCATTCATACATATGCATACAAACATATATCATTGAATCAAAGAAAAAAATGAACAAAAAACGATGTACTGTGATAAATTATAAAAATATTCTTCACTTTCGCTCATTTTTTATTGTATGGATTTTCCTGGTCTTATGGGGTCTTTTAAACTTATGAAGGTTATGTCTAGTATTCTTTGTAATTTTGATCAATTCAAAATAGCAAAACAAGTTAAAAAGGGTTAGTTATATTTTCACAAATTTAGTTCATACTCCTACTAACTTTGTTTTAAGTTTTTAAATTGTCATATTTTATACAAATCATTTTTTTATACAACAAAATATTATCAGTAAGTTTCCATTAAACAAACATACTACCTCTGTGAGGTTTTAACCAAATGTTCATAAAAATTATATATTTATATATATATATATTTTTTTTAAATAATTATAATATTAAACTGCATATTCTAAATTATTATAAAAAAAAAGAAAAATCACAATAGATTTTAAATTATTCATTTATTATATATAAATATTTATTAAAGTAATGCTGTGATTTTGTGTTTTATTACCACCACATTTAATTTAAAACGAACAATTTGTCAATTTTGAATTTTTTTTTTTAAATGAAAGAAATTGTATATTTTTTACAAAGAAAATTTACATTTGCTGAGGAAAGAAAAAACAAATTTGTAAAATATTGTATTTAAATTTAAGCGATTACTTTTTTTAAATGAACAAAAAAAATATGAATGTATTGCTAATTTTTTTAAAAAAGAATTTACATTTGTAATTATAATTTTTTATAGAATTTAGCGCATGGTAATAAAGTTAAATATTTAATAAGGAATATTTTAAACAAAATATAAATAATAAAAAAAGAGTTGTTTTATTGAATGGGAAATATACAGTTATAAGGACACATGTTTGTAAGTCCAAATTTATAGTGAAATTTTGATAATGCATTGAAAATACTTTAAAATTCAATAGAAGTTGAACTCAAGCCTGAAATTATTTACCTAAAAATGTATTATCACATTAAAATAAGTTTCTCCCTAAAAGGCAGTATTTCGCCTAAAAACAGATTTCCTCTAAAAAAACAGTATTTTATCTAAAAACCAGTAGTTTCTCTAAAACCAGTTTTCCATCTAAAATTCAATAAAAAAGAAATTTTTGATCTAAAAACAAAATTTTCCCCTAAAAACCATGGCCCAAACACCGTACTTTTCACCTAACATCACGGGCCGATTTACGGCATAGGTAATTAAGAAAAATGTTTCTTAATTTTGCTATTTAGATGAAGTTTTTCGATATCAAACAAGAAATATTAAGCTTTTTAGTTTAATTTCAATTTGGAAATATCTTTTCGATACGAAACCTTATGCGATCACGTATACGGTAAAATGACCTCAGATTTTTTGAAATAAAATTCACTTTTATTGAGTGTTTTCTCACCATCAAAACGTATGTCGTAAAAGGACAGTTTGATATTTGGAATGGAGCTTATATGTGGTGTCAATTATGGACCAATCCTCAAAAAATTTGTTTTTGAGAGATTTTTGCTCGTAAGAAACTTTTTTATGACGAATTTCATCGGTATGCTCGAATTTTTTTATCCAGTAATGAGCGGGACCTTATATGGAGTGTAGGGTCAAATATGGACCGATCCTCATAGAATGTGCTACAGAGATTTTAGCTCGTAGGAAACCCTCTTACATATTTCATTGCTATACTTATGTTTAGCCAGTAATGAGCGTTAAAGTAATTTTCTGAAAGGCACCTTATATGGGGTTTAGAGTCAATTATGGACCGATCCTAAAATTTGGTACAGAGATTTTGGCTCAGAGGAAACTTACTTATGTCCAATTTCATCGCAATTTCAACTCGTATTTTTAACCCAGTAATGGGCGTTAAAGTCATTTTCTAAAGGGGACTTTATTTGGGGTTAATTATGTACCGATATTCATAGAATTTGGTACAGAGCTTCTGGCTCTAAAACTTAATTGCGCCGAATTTCATTGTTATACTCTTATTTTTAAAATAGTTATGACTGTTAAAGTTAAAGATAAGGACCCAGAATTTCTGGGTCTATGACCAATATTTCTTTTTTGGTAGTGGGTATAAAAATAATCTTATTATTTGCTGGAAAAAAATTTCAAAATTTTAACGTTTAATAGTGAACGTATCAAATGATGTAACGTTATTTTATTAAATTTGCTATGAACTTAAAAATAACGGAAATTCTTTGCAAAACAGTAAGCTTTTATATATAACAAACATTTACTCTCTTCGGAAATATACTCAAATTCTCTCTATTAAATTGATATGGTAACTCGATTTTATTAATGTCATATATTAAAAAAAAAAATTATAAATAATATTAAAATTGTGTCGACTACACACTTTTGTTTTAATTTATAAAATTTAAATAAAATAGTATTTTATGTCACAATTAAAAGAAGAATAATAAAATACATTTTTTTGGTTTAACAATTAATTAAAGGTAATTATTATACAATTAAAGAGCAGAGAATTTATTTATAATTTTATACATATACAAAAAGACATAATATTTTAAAGAAGCGAAACTGAAAGATATTTTTGCACTTCTACCGGTATTACAATAACAAAATAATGCTTTTTCCCTTCCTCTCTTGTTTATACTATGGATGTGTACTATGACCGCTAAAATAGAGTGCAAACGTAATAGGAACGACAAGCGAAATAAGTATATTTTCAAATAATCTAAACCACAAATTTAAAAAGGAACTGCTGGGTTAATACTGTAGGAAGCCAATTAAAATAACTTTCCTTTATTATGGTATTTTGATCAAATACAAATTTCGAAACATTTTTAAACATATTTTCACTTATTGAGTTTTATAATATTTTAAATTTAACATTTCGCTGTCGCTTCTATTATGTTTATAAAACAATAACTTGTTGCTGCTTTTTTGAAAGGGAAAACGAAAATTCTCTCAGTATTTATTTAGAGACAGAGCTAAATCCATACAAATTAATATTTATTGACAAACAAATGTATGCTACACTTGGTACTTGTATAATATTCAATAATTTAATGTAACGGTAATTTTTTTATACATATTTTTTAGAATTAATACAAAATTTCAAGTTAATTTTAATATCAATCTTGCCAGTTGAAAAAAAAATTCTCAAAATGCAAATTTTACAAAGAAATCTATTAAAGTTAATGGTAGGTAACTATAAAAATGATTCAAAATTCCCACTTTAAAATAAAATATTTTATAATTACATTATTAGAAACGAAATTTTACCTACCCTACGTTACTAGATTCCATGACCAAAATTTCTGTATTAGAAAAGAAAAATTTTAGTTGTAAGAAAAAAACTACAAAAATTAAAACCAAGCAAAAACTTTTGAAATTTCCCGCTCTTAAACTTGAAGAAACTATACCGAAATTTTTAAAAACCGTGCAACCACTTTTATCATGTGAAGAATTTGAGGAAGCTAAATGTCTGACGAATGAGTTTGCCACAGGAGAAGGGGCAGAATTGCAAAAGCTCTTAGAAGCTGTTGCTAACAAGGAAGAGAATTGGTTGGCACCAAGGTGGTTAAAAGTAGCTTATTTAGCATATCGGGAACCAGTTACCGTTTACTCAAGTCCCGGCATGACTTTTCCCTTAAACAAATTCAAAAACCAAGATGAATATTTTATGTATACAGCTAAATTAATAATGGCTTTAATTAAATTTAAAAAACTGGTAGATGATGGCAAAATGCCCATAGTAAAAATGGGTAAAAATGAATTAGATAATTCACAATTTGGAGCCGTTTACGGAACATGTCGCATACCTTTGGCTGGTATAGATGGTTTAGAATATAATCCAAAATCAGAGCATGTTACCGTTATACATAAAAATTATGTAAATTTTAATTAGTTATTAACCAAAATGTTCATTATTATATAATAAATTTAAATTTCTAGTTCTACAAACTTCCCGTTTACAATAGAGAGGGTAAAATTTTAAATGCTGATGTTTTGTGTAAACAATTAAAAACTATAAGCAATTGCGATAAAGACTTTGGACCACCCATAGGCCTATGCTCTACCGATAAGCGGGACAATTGGGCTAAAGCTTATAAACAATTAATAGAATCCCATGTTAATTGTAAAAATATTAAAATTATACAAAAATCTTTGTTTACTGTGTCATTGGATCAAGAAATATCTTTCGATGAAGAAAATAAATATGTGATACTTGGTCAGCAATTAATACATGGAGGTGGTGCAAAACAAAATAGTGCAAATAGATGGATGGATAAAACTATACAAGTATTAAGACTAGAATATTGATATAATTCAGATAGTTTATTTCAGCTATAGTTTATTAAACTGAAATAAACTTGTATATCATGGGATAATATTTTATTAGTATTTTTTCAATATTTAGGTAATTGTCAATCCTAATGGCATGAGTGGTTTTTGTTATGAACACTCACCCGCAGAGGGACAGCCTATTGCCATGATGACCGATTATGTAACTAAAATTTTGTAAGTATTTCTTTCTTGAGGTACCACTAGCAGCAGGGAGAAATAAATGTCTGTTTGAAACTATAGACCCAAAGATTCCGAATTTAAAGATGGCGTTTCAGATAACTATGATTGTTTTTCTAAAATAGAAGTAACTGAACCAGCGAATGGTATGAAAGATAAATTTAAATTAGCAGAACAAAATATTAATGATTTGGCCTGTGATATGGATCTGTATATAAAACATTATAAGACCTATGGTAAGGAGTTCTTAAAGCAACAAAAACTAAGTCCTGATAGTTTTATACAAATGGCTTTGCAATATGGTTTTTATAAGTAAGATGTTCTTAACATATTTTTAAAGATCCTATTAAAATTCCTCATAATCTAGACTACATAAATCGCCTGCTGCTCAATACGAATCAGCACACTTGCGTATCTATTATGGAGGACGCACTGAAACTATACGCTCCTGCTCTAATGAATCTTTGGCTTTTAATAAAGCCATGTTAGATCCACAAGGTTGTGATGAAAATCGTTTATTGTTATTGCGTGAAGCGGTAAATGGTCATCGTAATTATACCAATATGGCCTTGCAGGGACATGGTGTAGATCGCCACTTATTGGGTCTGAAACTTATGGCAATTGAAAATAAAAAGCCTATACCGAAATTTTTCTCATCCAAAGCTTTTGTCAAAAGTTCACATTTTCGCATATCTACTTCTCAAGTGGCCACCGGCAATAAAGCTTTTATGTGTTATGGAGCCCCGGTTAAAGATGGTTATGGTTGTTGTTATAATCCGAGAAAAAACGATATGTTTTTAGCTTGTTCCGGTTGGAAATCGAATAAGGAAACAAATGCCAAAGATTTTGCTGAATGTATAAGTGCCGCTTTAGATGAAATGCAAGAATTGTTGAAAAAATGAAGTGAAAAGAAATGCTAAAGAAGAGTTTTAAAGGAATTATTCAAGTAAAAAAATTAACTAAAAATAATTACCAGAAACTTACCGTAAAATGTTAAAATTTTAACTCGTATAGGGTATTTAATTATTCATTACACATTCATTATTACAGGTTTATATCAAATGTGTAAAAACTCTCTCTTTATAAATACTATCGCCCACAAACTCTCTTAAAACTGGGAGAGTATTCAAAGAGAAACTTGTTTAGTTTGATCGCAAGTTGCATGCATTTTTTAATTTTTAAAATAAAAAACAAACTTGCTAGTCCATTGATACCAGTTCCCTAACTAGTTCGGTATTTTGATTACGTGGTTAACTTTTTATTTTCTTTAACTTGAGTTCAATATATTTTTTGTGTTTCTTGTACCAATTGTTGCGATAACAGCACACACAATTTCTGGAGCAATTTCAACTTTAAACAAAAAGTTTTTTTTAAGCAATTAGTATTGTACTTAGACCCTTAAATAAATATAATCCCAAAATACAATAACAAATTCAACTTTAAATAAAAACGAAAGTAAATAAAAATAAACATAAGCAAAAAAAAAGAGGTTTTTGCTAAAAATAATCTAAAACAGCTATAAACGCTTAACAATTTGTCTGCATGATTATGTTTAAAAATCAAAGGTGAATTTGTGTAAACGTTTTTAATTTTATTAAATTTATTTATAATTCAATTTTTATTTAGTTACTTGGAAGTAGAAAATATGACCATTTTAACAAGCCGCGTTTTAACTAATTTGGTAAGTAGTTTGAAAATGTAAAAGCTTTTAATTTATTTTAATAGAATTTTAAAGTTTAAAGTAAAAAAGCTTTCTTTAACTTTATTAAAATTGCTTTAAGAACTAAAACTATAACTTTTATATAAATTTCAGACCAAAAATGCTTTATATGGTGCACACTCTAAAGCATCCAGAGCTTTGTGTGCTACTACGCTACCAAGCAAAGCCCAAAACTATAGCACTGAATCGAAGCAAAGACAAAATCTTTTAAAATTCCCTGCCTTAAAACTAGAAGAAACTTTACCGAAATTTCTAAAGTCCATTGAACCCCATCTTACTAAAGAAGAATTAGCTGAAACGAAACGTATCACCGAGGAGTTCCAGCAAAAAGATGGTGCTGAATTACAAAAGATTTTGGAAAAAGTAGCTGCATCTGAAGAAAATTGGTTAGCTCACAGATGGCTTAAAGCTGCCTATTTGACATATCGTGATCCCGTTACTGTATTCTCCAGTCCTGGCATGACCTTCCCCATGCAAGAGTTTAAAAGCCCTGAGGATTACTTTATGTATACTGCCAAATTGATACAGGGTCTGGTTAAATATAAGAAAGTAGTCGATGAAGGTAAAGTTCCTGTAGTTAAAATGCGCAAAAATGAATTGGATAATTCTCAATTTAGTGCTGTATATGGTACCTGCCGTATACCATTGCCACAGCAAGACGCTTTAGAATATCATCCGAAATCACAACATATAGCTGTTATCTATAAAAATCATGTATGTATCTATATATTTATTTATCTATATATCAAACTATTTTTAACATTTCCTTTCATATACATTCTACTTCTTTTAGTTCTTTAAATTGCCAGTTTATGATAAAAATGGTAAAATTCTAAATGCTAAAGTATTATCTCAACAATTGCAACAAATTGCCAATTCTGAAAAACAAAACGGTCTTCCCATTGGTCTGCTTTCTACCGATAGTCGCGATAACTGGGCCGCTGCCTATGCTGAGCTAATGAAGTCCTCTCAAAATGCTCAGAGTGTGAAGGCTATACAACAATCTTTATTCACAGTTTCTCTAGATGAGAATGTACCTTTTAATAAGGACAGTGTATACAATGTTTTGGGTCTTCAATTGATACATGGTGGTGGTTCTAGTAAGAATAGTGCCAATAGATGGATGGACAAAACTATACAGGTAAATAAGCCAACAATATAGTATATTGTATATTAAAATAATGTAATTTTGTTTCCAAAGGTTGTAGTTAATCCTAATGGTATGAGCGGTTTCTGTTATGAACATTCACCAGCTGAAGGACAACCCATTGCCATGATGACTGATTATATTAACAAGATTTTGTAAGTATATTTAGCAAAATTTAACTTGACAAAAGTTATGCAATATTTTACTTTCTTTTTAGCCCCGATCCCAAAGAATTTGAAGATGGTTCTAATGATAACTATGAACCTTTCTCTAAGCTAAACTTCGATAAACCCTCTGAGACTTTACAGCAAGCAAATCAATGAAGCTTCCAAGAATGTCAACAAATTGGCTGAAGATTTACAGCTTGAGGTTTTACAATATAAAGGATACGGCAAAGATTTCCTAAAGAAACAAAAATTAAGTCCCGATAGTTTTGTACAAATGGCTTTGCAATATGCCTTCTATAAGTGAGTGTTTCCCCTTAAATTTACACAAATATCTAATTTCTTATAATTCCTTTAAACAGGTTGCACCAATGTGCTGGTGCCCAATATGAAACTGCCCATTTGCGTATTTACTATGGTGGCCGCACAGAAACTATACGCTCCTGCTCTAATGAATCCATGGCTTTTGCCAAATCCATGATGGATGCCAAATGTTCTGATGAATTACGTGTGGATCTTTTGAGAAAGGCTGTTAATGCTCATCGTGAATATACTACCATGGCTTTGCAGGGACAAGGCGTTGATCGCCATTTATTGGGTTTGAAATTAATGGCTCTCGAAAATAACAAACCCATACCAAAATTCTATCAATCTCCCGGTTTTGTTAAAAGTGCACATTATCGCGTCTCTACTTCTCAAGTGGCCTCGCCCAATGAGGCTTTTATGTGTTATGGTCCTTTAACACACGATGGTTATGGCTGCTGTTACAATCCCCGTAATTCTGATATATTTTTAGCCTGTTCTGCCTGGAAATCTAATGATCAAACTTGTGCCAAGAGATTTGCCAAAGCTATAAGTGAGGCCTTGACCAGTATGCGTGATTTGTTGGAAAGAGCTGGAGAAAAACCCAAATCCAAGTTGTAAAGTTTTTTTGTTTCACATATTTTAAATATTAGATTACTACTATTTGCCTTAAAATTGAATTTTTAATAAAATAAAAGTGTTAATATTATTTGTACAGCGAAAATTTTATTTTTTTATTTTAAGGGCTCATCACAATATATTCTAAACTATAATATTTTTACATATATACATTAATTAAAAAAAAAAAATTAGTGTTTTAGAAATTTAATCCTTTTTGCAATGATAACAACTACAAGACAAAGCAGATTGAAATGTAAAATTGCGCATGCCACCCATGCAAAGGACACGTTTTTGTATCTAAATTGAAATATAGCAAAAACAAGTATATGATAATTTTGTAAAACTATAAACGAAGACTACCAACCTCTTCAGATTCCATCATATTACAGCACTGACCCACCGACACCACTGGCTTTGGGGGCTTAAAAATACCACCAACACTGCCCCAAGGCATAGAAGGCACCGCATACGATTCACAAAAGCCTCGACAGGCATTGGTAGTTATATGGAATTCCACACAATCGGGTATGGAAATTTTGCGTGTATTACCCACTTTATGACAGCCCGGTCTTAGCCAAGTCTCTTTTGCCAACGACATTATGCCAAAGAACAAAAATAATGAAACAACTTTCAAAGGAAACATTTTTCTTGTCTTTAGCCTCTAACTGTAAAACGGTGTAAAAATTTATTAATTTATTTGTATTTTACTTCCGCTTTCTCTGAGTTCCTAGCACATACCGGGTTTATAACAGACTACTTGTTGTTTTAGCTGTTACAATGGTTTTTATGGGTTTCATTAAATAACTTAAGATCCTGCGCAGTTTATTCATGGTTTTTTTCTATTCTTCTTTACAAAAATTGTACGGCGTGCTTAATTGCTCAAAAGAAAAATATTTGTAAATTGTTAAAAAATTTTAATATAAATTGTTGTTAAATTTGCATAAAATTTAACATTAAAGATATTATTGTACGTTTCGCTATCCTCTCCAAATTATCAAAATAATTAATATTTATATAACTTATACGCCTCGTTAAAATGTTTGAAATTAAGTATACGTCAAGTAGCACCTTATTAAAAAGGATTTATTTTAAAATTAAATTCACTTTTTTAAATTCTATTTACTTTTAGGGAATATTTAGTTGAATATCAAAAATTAATTTTTGTAAAATTTTGAAAAACTGAGCTCTTTTAAAGGATTTCTCTTTTCAAAACTGTACCTTTCCTCTTTTTGCCCCAAAATATTTGTATGTTAAACCTAAAAGTTGTACAACTTTTAAACCCTGTTTTTATTTCCAGTCTACAAAAGTATTATGGACATTTATTTCAAACATTTTTTTTTTTTGAAGTTTGTCATTAATATTTTCCTTTCTTTCGGAAAATTCTTATTATAATAAATATTTTTTATTTTAATTCAGTTTTTAATAGATTTTAAGGAAAAAAACAACGCTTTTTCCAACTCAAACAATTGCTGAAAACTGAGAAATATAATTTAAAACGTTTGATTAAGCGAGAACTAAATTTTAATAAGTGAAAACTCAAATCCCAGGAAAAAATCTTTACGTTTAGCAAATATTTTTAAACAAAATCTCTTAAAATTCTTTTATCAACAAAATTTTTGTTAAATTTAAAAATTCAGTTTAAATTAAATTAAAAATATATTCTTTTAAAATTTCACAATAATGCAACGACTGCGTGATAATGCTATCAATAATGAACAAAATTACGAACATGATGAAGGTGTTGTTATGCCTGCCATAGATAGTGATATGTTGGATCACTTTGAAGAGGATATTGAGGCACATTCTATAGCTCCCAAGAAATTAAAAACTTCCATAAGTGAACAGGCTTTAAAGACCTTAAATGATTTTCGTTGTAATAATTTACTATGTGATGCTATTATATCTGTACCGGATGCCTGTTTTAATGTACATCGTGCCATAATGAGCTCTTGTAGTTCTTATTTTAGGTGAGTTCTCTTACAAAATTGCAAAATCATCATAAAGAATTCTACGACTTCCTATTATTTATTAAAGGGCACAATTTACTGGCTTTAATTCGCCAGAAATAAAGAATCTAGCAGAGGAAACTAGACATGTTCATATACCTGGTATGAGTGGTAGTATTATGGAGCAAATCATTCAATATGCATATTTACGCAAATGCACAATAAATGCCGATAATGTACATGAGCTTTTGATATCAGCCGATTATGTTGGTATCATTGGTTTGGTAACGTTGTGCAAACAATATTTAGCACAAATGCTAACAGCAGAGAATTGTGTCAGTATAATGGGTTTTGCCAGGTATGATTACTACATTACTCTATATTACTCTAACTACTAATCAGTTTTACTTTAAGTACTTTATAGTATGATGATGCCAAAGAAAAAAATCAGATAATCCTTTACTAATTGTCTTTGTTAAATCTATTCTAATGCGATTTTGATTATTTTACCTATTTTACTTTGATTTAGATTTCGCTTTTTGGATGATTTATATGCCAAGGCCAGAAACTATTTATTACGTTATTTCATTGAAGTGGCTGCTAAAAATAAAGACATTTATGAAATGAACTTAAATGATTTCTATGACATTATAAGTGATGACGACTTAAATACTCGTGAAGAAGACCATGTTTGGAAATTGTGCATAAAGTGGATAGATCATGATCCAGATAATCGTAAGCAGCATGTGGCGCAATTAATGCAGGGTGTGCGTTTAGGTTTAATGACCCCCAAAGTATGTTTAACTAAAACGATTATCATTCATGTTATATAATAAATATTTGCTTTTACAGTGTTTCATGGAGGAAGTCAAGGAGCACCCATATGTTTTACAAAGTGAAGAAGCTAAACCGCTTATTGTGGAAACATTCAAGTTTATGTATGATTTGGATATAATAAATCCCTCATCGGGAGAGGTATGACCATATTTTCTCATTTAGATCCAATTTAATAATACCCTTTCGCCTGCCATTTTCTAAAAAGCTTACTACACCTCCTCTGGCTATGCCACGTTTGCCCCATGAGGTTATATTTGCCATAGGAGGTTGGAGTGGTGGTACCTCCAAGGGTTGCATAGAAACCTATGATACGCGGGCAGATCGTTGGGTTAATATACCCGCTGATGATCCAGCTGGACCCAGGGCCTATCATGGCACTGCTGTTATAGGCTATAAAATCTATTCTATTGGCGGTTATGATGGTGTTGAATACTTCAATACATGTCGTGTATTTGATGCTGTCAAGAAAACTTGGAAGGAGGTAAAAAGAAAATCTACATCTTTTTTAAGGAGTTAAATAGTTTTTTCTTCCATTAAGGTGGCTCCCATGCACTCTCGCCGCTGTTATGTTAGTGTGGCAGAACTAAACGGTTTAATTTATGCCATTGGTGGCTACGACGGTCATAATCGTCTTAATACTGTGGAACGTTATAATCCTAAGACAAATCAATGGACCGTTATAACACCTATGAATATGCAACGTTCTGACGCAAGCGCCTGTACACTCAAGGGAAAAATTTATGCAACGGGTAATAAAATTATAAGGATTATTTAATTTTTTTTTTGTTTTGTGAAATTATTCTTTAACAGTATTTAAAAGAAAGTGTTCTTAAATGAATTTTAATAGAAATTCTTAAACTTTGGCTTTTTCACTAGAAATTTTCGTGATCGTCCAAAATTTCCCTTTTTACTATTACTTTTTATTCCAGGAGGTTTTAATGGTCAGGAATGTCTTGATAGTGCTGAATTCTATGATCCAAATACTAACATATGGACACGTATACCGAATATGAATCATCGACGTTCGGGAGTGTCATGTGTAGCTTTCCGTGGACAGGTTTATGTAATTGGTGGTTTTAACGGTACAGCACGACTATCCACCGGAGAGCGTTATGATCCAGAAACACAAACCTGGTCGTTTATACGTGAAATGAATCATTCGCGCAGTAACTTTGGTTTAGAAATAATCGATGATATGATATTTGCCATAGGAGGTTTTAATGGTGTCTCGACCATATCGCATACAGAGTGTTATGTCGCAGAAACCGACGAATGGATGGAAGCAACCGATATGAATGTGGTACGTTCCGCTTTGACGGCTAACAATGTGGCTGGTTTGCCCAACAAAAGGGATTATATACACAAAGAACGAGATCGTTTAATGGAAGAAAGACGTCAACGTTTGTTAGCTAGTGCCATGGTAAGGGAGAATATAAACACCTCTAACATGTCGGTAGAGACTCAAGATGCTGCAATGGATGATTATGACACGCCCAACGAAGATGAGGATGCTGACGATGAAGAGGATGTCTTACACGATTTACCTCAAATACCACAAGGACCGCAGATCTTTAACGACCCCAATAATAATGAGCCTAATAGACGATTTCGTCTACAAATGAGAAATCAACGTCCTGCTTCACATCATGAAATAAGAAGAAGATAATGTAATGAATCCAGTTCTCGATAAATTACAAGAAATAAAATAAGATAAAGAACACGTAAGAAAGGAAAACGTGTTAATAAGTTTTATAAAACAAAATTATTTATTTTATTCTTAAACAAAATTGCAAAAAAAAAATAATAATAATTTATACTTGTGCACCAATGTTGAATATTAATATTTTTGGATCAAAATTAATTTAATGAAATTGGAAAATTTTTATAAAAAACGAAAAATTAAAATTAATAAAATGTGAAAAAATATTTGTGGGGTTTTATTATTTCAAAATATCCAAAACTAAAGAGATATAGTTACCTATGATATGGACCGATCATTTATAAAAAAAAATTTTGGGATAGGATTTCTGTACAAATGGAAATTATCGATCGGAATAATAATAACGGAGCTTAAACCATTTTCTAAAGTTCATATCTACAGTAGAGTAAGGCAAAACTATTGAATTTCATTTGTTTTTTTTATTACAGTTGCTGAAATAAAAACAATATGAATAAATTTTTATAATTTTACAAAAACGTACAAAATATTCAAAAGACTAAACTTTAACATTTACCAGTTAAATGTCATCCATTTCTATTTTTAATGTAATATTTAAGAATAGATTTTAATTATTCATATTTTGCTTTTACTTCAGCTTTTTGTGTTTTTTACAAACAAATCAAAAAGTTAATTTTTAACAATAAACAATAAAAAACACAAGTCCAAAAGTTTAACTCCTTAAATATTCATTGAAAAAAAAAATGCGCATTCAAATGAACACTCATTGATTCACAACAGGATAAAGTACTGTTACTTACACCCATACAAACCAATGTACATATGTATGTATGTGTTTGTACGTATGCAGCATATCCTGTATCCCTTTCAATAAGAATACAATACTCTTGTTTGTCATATATAAGCGCAAACGAATCAATGTTATCAAATCATATCGTTGATAAACGTTGAAGGCATAACATTCAACAGATAACTCCTGCAACGGATATGAGTTGTCTACACTTGTAAGTTGTTGCAATTAAAATTTTAATATTGAAATATTTAATTTTTCATCTTCAGATTCTTTTTTGCCACATTATGCTGCGCTTTGAGTTTGGCACAAGTTTTAGAGGTTCAGCCGATTAATAGTAGTCCTACAGCTGCCCCTTTGGGCTGTCATCGTCGTCTGTACACATATCGTGTTACCCAGGCCGATTCGAAAGGACGTGAATGTTGGGATTATGTTAGTGTTGCCGCTTGTTGGGGACGTTGTGATTCGAGTGAAATATCGGATTGGAAATTCCCCTATAAACGTTCTTTCCATCCAGTGTGTGTTCATGCTACTCGACAACCTGCTGTAGCGGTGCTACGTAATTGCCACCCTGAAGCCGATGAGTTTGCTCGTCGCTATGAGTATTTAGAAGCGGTAAGTTGTCATTGTCATACTTGCTCTACAATGGACACGAGCTGTGAAGCGCCGGCTAATAATATTTTGGATGAAAAATCCGGTGTCAAGGTATTAGCCATTACTGGATCTGATTCGGTTGGTTTGGATTATTAACTCACGAAATAGTTAATTTTATTTGTAATTTTTTAACCTAAATTTAGTGCGAAATATGTTTTGACGTAACAAAATTTAATATATATTTGTATGTAGTAGTGTAAATGATGATCGTTATTGTGATTTTTTGAAATATTTAAAATATTTTACAGCGAAAATTTTATTTTTAAAATGTTATAAAATAAATTACATAATATAATGCAAACAAATACAGAAACTTTATTTTAATTAAATTTGCGCCAAACCGTTACGTATTTTAAATTCTGTTTCCTTTAGTTGGCAAATCATCTAAGTAAAAACTCAAAAAACATCTGGTAACATCATTTCGCATGTCTCTGGCAGCTCAAGTAATTGTTTACGTTTTGTGCAATTGTTTAATGCAGTGATAAAAAAATAAATACAATAATAAAAACCATTATGTCCAACTGAACTATTCAGTTTGTGAATATTATTAAATAAAATCAACGCCATGGCTGGTCCTTGTAATCCTGTTTGGAATTATTTTCATCGCAATGAAAGTACGGCCACTTGTGTTGTCTGCATGAAGGAATTGTCTTTGGGAAGTCCTTTGCCCAAAAATCAAACTGTTAGCAGCATTAAAAAACACTTGGAAAAAGTTCATCCTCATGAATATGCCGCCTTTCATACACTGGAAAAAGAGTATGTACAGCATAAATCACAAAATGTTAATTTAAAAAGAAGAGCCAAACGCAAAAGACTTAAAGAGCGCAAGGAAGCAATAGAAGGTCCCAAAGAACGCAAGAAACCGGGCAGAAAACGTAAAAACGAAAAACATTCAGAATCAGAAGATACTGAACACAAAAGTTTAAATATTGAAATAGTTGTAGATGATCCCCTAGTCGTACACGAACAGGACGAACCTATGGTGGATATGGCTAGCGTGGATATCAATAATGTAAAAATGGAGCATTACAAGAAATCACCCATTAAGTCAGGTGATGTTGCTTTAAATAAGAGAATAGATAAGATGATACTAGATCTCATGGTTGTTGATTTGTTGCCCTTTAATATTGTAGAAGGATCGGCATTTAGGCGCTTGCATTTGGCTGATCCTTGTAGACTTAACAAATATTCTGTTAAACCAGCAGATTATTATAAAAATGATCTTATGCCAGAGACATATGATTCAGTAAAAAGAAAAGTTTTGCAATCGTTAGAACAAGCAGAATGGATATCGTTAAGCACCACTCAATGGTGGCACAAAATGAAATCCTGTTGCCTGCAAGTTATTAGTGGACACTTTCTACACGAAAATCAAAAACACATGGTGGTGCTGGAAGTACGTCCTCTAGAATCACCACAAGTTATGACACCGAACATTTTGGACTTAAGCCGAAAATTTAACATCGTTGACAAAATACATTTGAACATAGTGAAACAAAATGAGGATACATCTTCTGAATGGTTTACCACATTGGAATGCTCAGATTATTTACTACAAAAAGTCATACGAGAAGCTTTGTTTTCAGCAGATATTATCGAGATTATCAAACAGAAATGTAACAGCATTATTGAACATTTTATAGGTAATCAACAGGCCACACAAAACTTAAACGAATGCCAAGAATTGTGTGGACTAAATCATTATAATTTTATTACATCCCCACAAACCAATTGGACAAGTACCTATTTAATGTGGGAAAAGTTAATAGAACAGAAACCTGCCTTGGAAATGTATATACAACAGTATGGCGACATTCAAGTGCCCTCGGAATATGAATGGCAACAAATTGAATATTTGGTGATATTGCTGAAAATATTCTACCAAGCTTGGATAGATCTTAATTCCGAGGCGGCCTGCGTCTCTCTAATTATACCTTTACTCACTATGTTAAATTCAAAATTAGAGCTTAAACTAACAGATCCCCAGGATTTGCAATACTACAAAAAATCATTAAAATCGCAATTAAATCAATATTTCGCATTTGCCCATCAATCGTCTTCACTTATCATAGCCACTCTACTAGATCCACGTTTTAAAATGCGCTACTTAAATGAGCAGCAGTTAACATCATGTCATGCCGAAATGACGCACAATTTAAGACTTTCTTTAAATTTAGATGAAGATTCTCCAAATCCCTCTTACAATACATTACCAACCAATAATTATAATTACCACAACACCTCTGATCTTTGGGAGTCGCACGATTCGACCACAATAACTGAAAATAATACAAATGAAAGCGTTTTTATGGCCTTCGAACAACAATTGAGTTTTTATCTTAAAGAGCCATTGATAGCAAGGAATGGTAACATCTATCAATACTGGAATGTAACACCCTATGAATATTTGCGCAAATTGGCTTACAAGTATTTAACGGCACCTCCTACTCGTTTAGCATATAATGAGACAATTTGCCAAGTGGGAACACTGTATGCTGAACGAAGACTGGCTTTAAAAGATCAAGACGATGAAAAGCTTTTGTTTATGTCATGTAATATAAAATTATTTAATTTTTAATGTTAGACTAGTGTTGTAAGGATTTTAATTTAAGAAATAACAATTTCAGACAATTTTTTTACTACATTACAAATCCAATTATTTTATGTAAAGTTATTTATAATAAAAAACAATTGTCATAATTTGGTTTAATGTATTCATATATTCTACCAAATATTAACAGCCCATTTGAAAATTTCAATTGTACATATCGCTTTCTTAATGCTAGAGCTTTACAAGTTTGTATTATACATATTGAGCGAGTATTGTTAGGTATTGACTTGTAAACGTTCAGCATTAATTAAGAGTTATGTTCCCCTGCTAGTGTAATTACATTAAAGTTTTTTGCTTAAGAAATTAAAACTAGAATTTTGTTTCTTTTTATTTTAAATGTATATTTTGTAGAGCTAACTTATATAAAATAATCAATCGCAACATAAAATATACAGAAAATTAACATGGAGCTTTCGTTGACAACATCGAAACACCATTGAAAATTTTACGTGTGTTTTACTATTGCATGTCTTAACATGTTTGTGTAATTTTGTATTGTTTTTTTGTTCAAGCTAACAAAAAATGAATTAAAAAAACAAGATCACAATCTAAAAACTATAATGAAAATGTAAATGATATTATTACATGGTAGTTTTACAGTAAAGAATAGCATTTATGTTTAAAGAATAAAGGAAATAAATGACATATTCCTTAAGATTTGCTAAATAAAAAAGACCGTTTAATGTCCTTCAAACAAGGACCAAAATTATATTTATAATATTAAAAAACAGGGGGAAGGAAAATGGCAAGATGAAAGTTCTTTTTTAAAGAAATTTCATGCCGGAATTACCATTTGAGGCTGCATTCGTTCGCGCCAATTGAAATAGACAATAAAGACCGGTAACACCTAAACCAACAGCACCACCAAGGGCACATTTCCTTAAACCAGCTGTAATTTATATGGAATTGTTATTAGAATATTTTTTTTTACTGTCAGATAAACATTTTTTCATACCAGTTGATTTGTATAGGAAACCAGTAGCTGTTCCAGCTAAGACAGTATTTATATCATCATCTTCGCCGCGGGCAAACTGTAAGAGGACACCAAAAGATGAATACATTACAGCTAAAACACCCAAAGTATTAGCTGTGCCGGAACCTTGTTTCATGACGTGATTTACCATTCTAAATTATAAAAAAAAAATTATTGCATAAATAATTTTATTGGTTTAATAAATATTTTTAAAGTCGGATATTTTTAGACCAAAACTGAAATTAAAATATGAACTTTTTCAAAATAATTAAATGCCCTGAGTTATGCAGCAAGTTTGAATTCGTCTTTAAAAGTAATACCCAATCAACATTATCAGATCGGAATGGTTTCAATTGCGCAGTAAATATTCCAATAGATTTTCTTTTAGCTGTGTCATATTCTAATTAATTTTGATTTGTAATGATATTCCATGTTTTGTTCGAATCAGGATGTACTAAGTATTATTACATGACAGAGCTAGAAAAGTTTTGGTTTATTATATGCATCTCTAGTTCAATTGCATAATCAATGCTTGTTTATAGTTTCGCTACTTTGTTGTAACAATTCGACAGCGAGTGGTTGTTCTTTCCTGATGGAAAATTTTCGTTTAATAAAGCTGTTACTGAGTTAACAATCTTTGGTCCAGTCGTTCCGAAGAGAAGATCCAATTGTCATGCGAACGAAAATATTTGTTGATTTGTTTAAAATCTGAATATTTCTTTATTTTAGACGATATTTTTCAAGTAGTATTTTTGTGCTATATTTTGCAGCAGATAATACGAATAGTTATTTATAGATTCTTGTTTTGGATAAAAATAAACAATCAATCTACTCGTTAATGGAGATTATTATTTTGATTATACCTATGTACATAAATAATTTCGCAAATCATTATCACTGGATATTGACTAACTCCTGTACTGTTTTAGTTTTACCTTGAAGTAATTATACTGTCCAATTAATTATTGAAATAAAATTTGAGACTAGCACACATTACATATTCTAAGCAGTTACATTCCTCCTAGCTGTTTTGTTTGGTCATATTAAAAAATATACCTATGCAGAGTTTCAAACTTACTGTGTTCGCCACAATTTGCCGGTTTGTTGTAAAGCCTTTGTTGTTCTCATACCATTGTAAAAACCAGCTACACCACCAATACCTGCTCCTATCATTACTGAGGTGCCAATCTGTGAAAATGATAACTCAAAGCGACCTCTTTGTTTTGTAGCACCCTCGGGGAAAATAAATTCTGGTTGAGCTTGTTGCAAGAAACGCGGGTCATAGTTCAAATATGGTGATATGGGTGTACCAAATGTACTGGAAGCTGCTGTACTACTTGAACGTGTGGGTTTGGCATCATCATCTAAAATTTAAAAATATGTTTCAAAATTTCCTATGGATTTCTAATAGAAGCATGATGTAACACAACACATAAGGGAGAAATGTATAGTTCGATTAAATACTACCCCTGATACCCGTATGCGTATGTTGAGCAACATCAGCACTTATACTTACATCCAGTGGAGCCGGATAGAGATAAAGGTTTACTCAAATAATCATCACTCATGGTCGAGGGCAGGAGGTGTTCTTCTTTTAACGAAATTTCGAATTTTTATTTAATAATTCTTTAATATGGAATTTGTTAGGGGAAAATCGAACAAATACACACGTGAGATTTCTTCGCTACACTTTTCACACACAACTTCACTCAAAAAAGAAAA